CCTCACAAGTCTCATTAATTGAGAAAGTTAAAATTAGAAATTGGACCACTCAGTATAACATGAGCAATGCACCAGAATTAAGGCTTTTGTATATCCAAGTCATGAGGAGGTGTAGTCTGAATATTTTATGTTTTTATCAATCTATAATTTAAAAGATCTTCATACAGACATGACCACAGAACATGTTGGTGAGATTAATTAAATTCTGTCTGTTTTTGCTGGTCTGTGGTTTAAATCTTCAATGCAAGTGCAATAGAAAGTATCACCATTTGATCATTTTAGATACTTTGTAACAACAATGTTTGCAGGTGAAATACTCACATTGACAGTGTCGGAACATATTGAGCGTGACTCTTGCATTGCAATGAGGCAGAAAGCTGTCATGGAGGCGTCTGACTCTAAGCCGGCCACATCACCCTACAGATGAAGCACAAACATATTATTATTATTATTTCTAACAGAACAGTTTTTAATATTTATAAAAGCTGATTGGCAGTTGTATAACTGGTTTCTCATTTAGTTATTTTGTATTTTAAGTGTAGATGAAGAACTGGTGTCAATAAAATCAGTGCACTCACATTCATTGTTGACTGCAATACAGGTGCAAATTCTTTGAAAACACCATCAGGTTGTTGTCCTCTGAGAATAAGGTACTTGACAGCATCACAGATCACATTATCTTGTATTGCAACCAGATGATGGGCCATTGCAAACACCTTGGCAACATAGGCAGTCAGCCTTATAGACAGGAAGAGGGGATACAATAGCTTAATATAATTTATTTGCCCTTACTATAAATTGGCTTTGCAAAATCAGAAATTAAAGCAGCATGTGCAAAATATTATGTATGAATTCATGGATGTTTGTGGGTGCCTCACCAGGTGCTAGCTGGGCGAGAAACAAATGCAGCAAAAGATCCATCATTTTTACGGAAGGCCAACTCATTTGTGTAACCTTGATGAAACAATTAAAAAAATAAAAAAATCTTTTTACTTCACTGCTATTCAACTTGCATCTGACTTTTATCAATTAGAAACGATTTTGAGGCGCTCTGTGTGTTTATTGTGTTACCAAAGAATTTATGTACATCTGTGAGAGCCTACCAGTTTTTATATGTTGGAGAGCTTCATTACGTTTCTCAAAGCCCACAGTTTCCCATTGGTCGGTTTTGTCCAAATACAAGGCTGCAATAACAGGCAGGGTCATTGAGATCATGTTCTGCTCTCCACAGCCCGAGGGTTGTCTGATTAGAGTACCCATTGAGTTGCCGCCAATGGCATTATCCACCAGCTGATATACTTGTTCTCTCCCTGCATGCATACACATACAAAAAAGGTTCACAACACCCATTAAGGTAGTCAGTCCCGAATGTCAACAATAACAATATATAATAGAAGCTTCAGGGTGATATAGCCAATGAATCACATAAACTGCATAAATATTATATATTTCTCACCTGTCACAGAGATCTGTGTGCTAGTAGGTGTGTTTGGAACCAAATCTTTCCTTTGAATTCCACTGTTAAGAACTTCGTTCTGTACACCATCTAAACAGAGAAAAAAAGGTTTTATTAAGGTGAAAATCAGTTTGTGACTTAATAATTATAATCTAGATTTTTAATAGATAAACTCACTTTCTCCTTTCTTAACAGGATCTAAAGTTACGATCTTTGAATGTTTAACCAGTACGCCCTCAGGCTGGAAAACAAACAAACATTGGAAGTCATTATTATTTTAGCAAAGAAAAGTGCAGTAGGCACAAAAGAGGAAATAAGTCCATAATTAAATTAAGTCCTCCACAGTTTATCCTTCTAAGCCTAACTGCAGCCTTTATGACTTAACTCAGTTTAACTTTGCAGGCTTGATGTGTGAAGTGAACCTCTCTCAGTGTGTGAGAGAAGTAGCCACAGCAGCAAAAATGAGAATGATGTTAGTAGTCAACTTACTATTGCACCTATAAAATGCGTACTTTGTAGTTGCAATAGATACTGAAAGTGTGCTGCTGAAAATAATTAAGTGACTGTGGTGGTTTATAATGTTATCATATGAACACAGTATTTTTCCTTTAAATTCATAAAATAACATTATCAATATTAATATGAAGCCAAAACCCTTTACAAAATCACAATATATAAACCACAAATACTGACTTAGCTTGAACTGTCAGCTCTATTTAAATTTCAACTAAACTGTTATCCATTTTTAATTATGCATAATTACTAAACAACATTTACATGTGACTGTAAATGTAACATTTCTCCCAAATGAATACGGTGAACGCATTTCAATAATATATGTCAATGTTGATGATAACCATGATATTTAGAAGTAAAATGTGGATAAAACTGACCTACATGATCATAAATAACTGTGTAGTTTTTCTTTTGGCTAGCTTTTGTCAGTTTGCTGTTCACTACTGATTAGAGTACTGTACTGGTTCTTCATCTTCCTATAGTCACACTTTAACCAAAATCCTTTTTTACAAAATAGACACAAAAACAAGCAATGAACTAAAAATGCATTTGACGAGTATGATTATTGTTAATATTTTGATCATTTCTAAGATTATTAAGGGACATTCTTTTGGCAGTGATAATCATGTAGTATTAGAACAAAAGTTCAGTACATATTGTTAGTCTACAAAATTATCAGTCTGATGTTTGGTTTGGGATTGAGCCAGACTCCAGTTATTGTTTCTGTCTGTTCCTTTTTGTGCCTAAACCTCAACAAACAATAACTTTCAAATTATTTTATTACTACCAATTTTAAATGGCCTTTTCACATTCAGATAAGAAAAAACATTTTTGTTTTATTTAATAGGGAATTGATAACGAACATATTTTTGGGGCATCCAAATAGCAAACATTGGTTTTCTTACCACCACCCGCAACATCTTCATAACTTCATCATTGAGATATGAGTCCTTAACAGCTGCTTTAACCTCAATGCGCCGTTCTCCCTCCTTCATTGGAATAATGACAAAAGATACAGACTGTGTGGTCTCTGGCCCAACAGTGACCTCCTGGCGATACCTACCACGTTTGGAAGCTGAACTGCACACATGCTCCTCCTCAGTCAAATCGACGCGTACCTTTATAAAAGAAAAACAGCAATGACAAAGTTGGAGAAGAGATTAAAACGTTGTATTTCAAACTGGAAGAATACAAAGATCCTGATGAAAGACAGAGATTTTTAAGCATTCCTTTAACTTTCTGCAATTTAATTTCTCCTTATTCATATAAAACTAAGTTAATAAACTCAACATGAAAAAGGGATCGTACTCTTCAATTTAGTTGATGATAAACCAAATATGATAAGCCAACCTTAACTAAGGAAATGTAATCATCCTGGCAAATGAAAATGATTTTAAGAACACAACACGAAAATGCACATGATAAACTCACAAGACGACACTTTTGAACACCACTGTGTTTCAGTCCAGTAATTACTGTGGTTCTGTACTTACAGTGATACGATCAGGGCTGTAGTTGTGGAGGATTGCTTTAATTTCTATCTGCTCTCCACGGACAGC